GGGGAGGGTAAGGGGAGGGAACGGAGACTCGAAGAAAACGTGACGGTACGAGGAGGTGCGTAGGCGAGTTACAGGACACATACGGAACCAGGTACCACTTCGCGAGATGACGATCATCCTGAGCCGCGGAATCCCTTGACGATCATTACCGATCCGCACGTAACGTCGATTAATTGCACAAGCGTTCCTGTACGATTACGAATGATTTTACAAATGAATAGCGCATTTACGTGGGTGTCCGTGATTTTACCCGACGCTTGGTCGTTTATCGTGGACTTTATTGCGCATGCGCGTGCCACGTTCTCTCTGCCCCTCCCAGGTCCCTATCGGACCTGACTCTTTCGTTGGTAGGACTGACAACTGTCACGGGGCCAGGTTGTACCTGCTCGGCATGGCCACTCCACGTGGAGGCGATATGGCTGACAGTCGTCCACGTGTAGTCATCAAAGTCAGCGAAACCCGAGCCGGCTCGATTATAATCGATAGGGTATTAAAGATCGTCATTCGAGTATGCCGATCATACGGATCGACGCCGGCGACGCCGACGCCACGGACGTTCTCCGAGGTAAGCCAGAGCGTCTCCGTAAAAGCGTCAAGGGGAATCGTGAAGGCGCGTGACAGTCTAATTAGCGTTCGAGTCGTCAGAGATCCATTCTGAGATAGATGGAGCAGGGTAAGGGTCCATATCCTGGTATGGAAGCTGCTGTAACGGCCTGTGCATGTATACAAGCGTCTATAGCCACGGCGTGCGTAAAGTCGATCGGATTAGCCGGAAAGGCGAGACGTCTCCGCGTTTCGAAGTTCTCGAAGCCGACGAATCGTGGATTGGATTCTGTCCTTGTTCGGAGGGGACGAAGGCTGACGAAGAGGAGGAAGAAGAAGTTTGAGCGGATAGTCGAGACTGGTTCGATTTCCCACGATACTGGTCCACGTCTCTTGACCGTTACACTTTGGATATCGAGACTGGCGCTCATTATGAATTATAATTACGGATCTGCTCTGGCGCGACAGAATGATCCGGTGGGTATACGGGTGAAAATGTACGTTTTTGCCTCTGTAAAGACCACGTGGCTCAAGGATGATCGATCTGAGGTTGACTGGGTATAGGGAAACGGGTGTAGGTTGGTACCACTTGAGGTGGATGATCCTCGGGATTACTGTGCATGGCTGTGATAGCTGAAGGATGCCGCGGCTTTGCGCTTCAAAACTGATGTGTATATAAGGTACGGATATGGGTATGCGGGGAGAAGGAAAGGTCCGCGCGGTGTTTTATGGGGAGCTCGCCGATCGTAAATTATAATCAACGTCGTTACCAACACTCTAACAAACTCGCGTCATTAAACCGTTGCTAATAGAAGAGCAGCGATTATTGTGCACACTGGCGTCGCGCGCCTATTACGATACAGGGGGCTCTCATTAACCATGGTACACTGGAATACCAACTTAACGTGTATCTTTTATGTCAGAGAAAAAGTCAAAGTGTAGCTGGGCACTCCCTTGTAAATTAAAAAAAAAAAAAAAAAAAAAAAAAAAAATGCCGCATGCGATTTTTCACACAGACGATTCCCATCTGGATAGAGTTGGTAACACTGGTTTCATGGAGAGTGAATTCAAAGATTGCCTTACCTTCCACCAAGGAGGTTAATAGAGTTACGTTGGCAGCCTTCCTTCTGCCTGCCGGTAGGTTGAGTCCAATCTTTTCGAGCTTCTCTCTGAGCAGACGTCCACCGTTTTTGGACTTTGCTCTGAAACAGAATTAAAAAAAAAAGCATTGTTCAATTATTGAAGAAGGCGAACCTCGTTCCTGGATGTAGTGCAGGATACATTGGAAGATAGGGTCACAAGATGTCGCTCGCAGTGGCACGGTAAGTTCGGGTGGGTACTCGGTCGGTAAAGATAATCGCTTCCGCGCATCGACGGACGGCAATTTCGAAACGGTACCTTTCCATTAATCACCCGGCTGTATATTCGAAAAAAGAAATCGTAAAGGAAGGAAATTAGCATAATCCATTGAGGCATGTCATCGGCGATTGGGCAACGAAGCTGGGGGCCCTGGCGTTACCGGCGGACTCCGGAGCAACATTTGATACGTTTCAAAATAACTTCCTGCCACGGTTCTGCCCTCTCCTCGTCCTCGTCACGCGCATCGGCCCGCCCGTTTTCTCTCCCGTCGCCTTTATCGCTCCCCTCGTTCACCTTTACTCGGGCGCGCACACATCCGACCAACGAGAACTCGATATGGCGAGTTCTTTCCTAACTCCCCGGCCATCCATCACGGCGCTCCGTAACGGTTTAGTCTATGGTACACCTTTGTGGAGCTTGCGCGTTTACGTAATCGTTTATCTCGGTCCGTAGGAGCTCATGGGGTAAGGCCAATACGATTCACGATGTACGACCGGGACCGGTAATTAATTCATTCGCACGTCAGACTTCATTGGTCCCGACAGAACCATCGACCTTTTCTCGTCGCAGGACAAAATGTATCCTGAAGTGGACAAAAACGAGGTTCAGAACAAAAAAAAAATAATTAAAAAATACCCAGGCAGCTTCTTTCTTTCGCCGCGCGTACCACGCGCTCAGGACGTCGCAGCATCCAAGCCGTCAGATTAGAATCGATCGAACGATATCTCATAGTTAAAAGTTCTTCACCCTTTGGCACTTCCAATCGCTTCAAGTTCTGCTCTTCTCGTTTTTTATCTTCCCCGTCCATTCCTTGCTTCCTTTTTTGGCAATGACGTCCCTCTCCCGTGCACTGTGCAGGGGGGGCATCGGTTTTAAGTGCTCGCTCGTCTCCTTCACGCTGAACGTGACGAGAAACGTCCTCCACTCATTACGTGGTCTTGTCTTCCAAACGATCCTCCATCTTGGTTTGGAGTTTCGTTGCCGTTCTCGCTTTCTTAGTTGCGGATTCGCCTTGGCCTTACCCTTACCCCAACCACCACCCTGGCACTCCTCCCTGATTACGTGTCTTTCGGTGGGAAGCTGGCATCGTTAATGGGTGGTCTGGTCTGACAAAGCTCATGGTACCCATGGAAATAAAGAGAGAGGGAGAGAGAGAGAGAGAGAGAGAGAGAGAGAGAGAGAGAGAGTAGTGAATAATGATCTTAAAAAAAAAAATTAAAAATAAAACAAACTCCTTTAACAGCATCCCACGTGCATCCCAATGAAACATGGAAACATTCCTAACGATCGGTTCTCTCGCTGGACCCGCATCGAAAATCATATCGATAGGTACTCGTTGGTACATGATATACCTATGGCTGCTCTACGCGGAGTACTTGTAATTACGGTGAAGATCGCTATCCGTATGGATGAGTTATACCATTTTCGATGCTCGAGGGCTGCGTGCAGAATTGACACCTCGGAGTCCATAATTAGGAGTATCTCATTTGCATAGTACCTGTGGCTAGCTACGGATTCCCAAGTGGATCATCCTTGTATCAAAAGATCGTCTGGATGGCGATTACGGGATTTACGGTATGCGCGTGTAACAGACGAGTGACGTTGGCTACGTCACCGATCGTCTTGATGATTTAGCTGGCCGAGCTTGCGGATGATAAAGCATTGCGTAACGGATAGGACTGAGGCTGAGAGAAAGAGAAAAAGAAAAAAAAAGCTATCACACTGGATCAGATATAGGTACGTATAGTAGCGCGAAGCATTCCCACCAAGGGCATAAATCAGGCAGCTGGTCGTGTTAATGGCGGATAAGACTGGGTGTTAGAAGAGCAAGTTCATAAATTAGTTTTAGATAAAGTCCTGCGAACGAGCCGGATACACGGATTTAATTTTAAGAGATGCTGCGTATATGTACAATTATACATGCATCTCTTGAATTAATCAGCAACGCGATCGGGCTCCACGCGAGATCCGGTTCCTTTTTCAATATTTTCCTTCAGCGCTTCCCATCGTCCTCGCGATGGCTCCAGTTTCGCGGTCAGCCTCCGTAGATCATCTTGTCCCTCCTTCGTCCCCCTTGGCTACCGATCTTCTCGTTGTTCCTCGTCGCTTCCGGTTAGTTTTCACTGCCCAGGAAGAAGTTTTCGTGCACACGTGGCCAGACGGGGAATTCGTCACTGTCATCCCCATTGGTACCTGTTTGCCTCCCGTAGCACTGCTGCCAACGTACAAGCAGGTTAGCCAGGTGCTCGGAACAAGTGACTTTAGGACTGGCCAGTGAATTTATAAAAGACGTTACGAAGCGTGAATCCTTAATCAATTCCATTGAATAAAATTAAAGTCCAAGAACGCTGGGAATGGTTTTGCGATTGCGTTGAGAAGAGGCTGTCATAAAAAACATGGCTACCACTTAAGACCGTTAATTAAGGAGGACCCGTCGCGCTTCGCTTTGTAGGTTTTACTTTCTATTTATAATCCATTTGTAAGACCTCCAGGAGACCTGGGTACGGTAGTCGTGGCTGTAAAGAGGTACCTAGAATAATACCTGACCGATACCAGTTGGACCTGAGGTACCCATGTACAATAATGGTATACAGAAATAGCGACTGTGTAGCAACAGTGCGCGATACTCCAGGTGACTCTTGGTACTTCATCCTATGGACCCTTATCTCTTACTACACTAAAACATTTTTTGACCAGCACCTACCAAACCGTGAAAAGCCGGTTCTCTGGTAGCAGGTTGCACCAATTCACTGGCAATCGTTACCAACCCACTAGCCTCTAGATATCGATCGCGCCAGTCTCGCTTTTAACGATCAGAATTATTAAGGAATAAATTAAATCCCGATAGGGTATAAATTAGCCGAATCGTCCTGGGATCAACGAGATGTCTGTACGGGTCGACTGGTCGAGCTAGATCTTTTTCTTCAAAGTATCCTGCAACAAGACACCCGTGCGAATGAATTTCCTAGATCTTCCAGCTACAAGCGCAATCCTCTTTTCGCGCGATGCGGTCAACGCAGGTCGATATAATTATTTCAAATTTCCCGCGCTTAACCTATTCCTTCGAACTTAACCACGGCAAGGTCTATCTTCTTGGTATGAATGAGTTCTCTGCTTCCTTCCATCCCGTCTCTCGCCTCTCCTCTCTCGTGTCAGTAAGACTACGCTCTTGAATTATAGTCGTGAATGGACCAAGCGAGGGTCTCCGCATCTCGTTCGTCTTACTGTACCATCCGTCCGTGTGTCTGGCCTGCCAGTCTCTTCGGCCGGAGTCCACTCGGGATGTCTCGGCCAAGAGAAAACGAGTCCGGACGTTTGCATATCCGCCTGGAGGATTCTCTAATTTGCATATATCTTAATGTTGCTACTGCGGGATGCTGGTTCGGGACCGATGACGTATTTGTATTTACACTCCGCCGAGTGTCCCGAATACACGCGCATCCACTGTCCGCAGACGTATCTACTCGATTCACGAACACGTGCCACTCTCTACGAATCATAATAATCCATTGAAATACACACACATATATATATATATATATATATATATATATTAATTTTTTCCTTAACCAAACGCCTCCAGCACGTAAATGACTATTGATCTACGTTAATGACTTACCTCCTGAGTACTCCGCCAAGTAGACTCGCGTTCAGGCATTCTGGCGGCGAGAGTCGTCTCTGGACCTCAGCCACCGTCACTTTGTACTTGCTGGTGCTGCTTAATAACGATAACCTTCCTGGCACCGAACAAAACACATCCAACGGTTCCGCACTTCCGGACAACATAGCCTTGTCGCCCCTATCGGACGGTTTCATATCTGTGAAAAAAAAAAAAAGAGATTTGCATCATTTTTATAATCCACATATATATACCGTTACGTAACGTTAACTTGATATTCGGCATACAAACACGCATGTACAAGAGGTTTAAAAAAAAAGAAGAACGAAAGATCATTTTCTGCGGCCCACTTTTTTTTCCCGAATGATCTCACTGCGCCGGCAAGAGGAGTTTCAAAAAGAAAAAGAAAAAAAAAAAAAACGCTTTCACCCAAAAGACCATCAATATCGCATTACCCCGTACCGTTCGTTTCTCTCTATTTTTGGATTCGTCGTAACGAACAATAATAATAATAGTCGCGACGATCGGAAATGACGTTGCTCGATCCTCGAGAGCGACAGATATATCTATAGACGGCACACGCGCTCCCATATAGGCAATGAAAGTAACAGCGTCGGCGGGTCGGGAGCGTCGGGAGCGATCACGATTAGCGTAACACGGCGTCATTATCGTGAACGATGCATTAATCGATGATAATTAGCGGTTTCCTCGTATAAAATTTCTATCCGACAAACTTCTAACGACCTGGCACCGAGATGCAATAACGGTGGCTATGCACGTCAGTGGCTCAATTACAAATAGCACGGCTCTATTAATGTATTAGATGTACGTGACACAAGTTGGCTACCGTGTGTCGTTGAAGTTTTGTATACGATAATAACAATGATAACGATCAATTAAAATAAACTCGATACCCCTTTGCCGATACTCCTCTATCGCCCCACGAAAATCAACCACGAGTCACCGTGGAGATGAATCCTCGAATTTTGGATCAGAC